GACAAGGTTTGGCGAGGTGTAGTTTCCACTGCTGCCCTGCATGGTGTTGAGAGGTGACATGTGTCGTCGAGGTATAGTTTCTTGGCCACAGTTTTTTGGTCGGGTTGGCCCGCAAGGAACACCGTAACGCCTGATAGGTGGCGAAGCATGTGGAGGCCGATGACAAGCTTGGAGGTGCTTTGCAAGACTTGCAGAGAAAGCTCGTCGAAGCCCAGAAAGTTGGAGAAAAGGAGCCGCAAGTCAAGGAACAACTCACTGCTTCTGGTTTTGCTGCAGCCGTCCCATGGTTTCATGACCTCGGCGCCAAGTTCGTGTCCAGGAGTCAAAAGACAGTTGATGACATGTCTGACGCCGTGCGTGTTCAGGGCAAAGCTGTGGGCAAAATGCTAGAGTCTTTGCCACGCTTTGACAATGAGGACAAGTACCGTGGCAAGGGCTTGACGGTTGTGCAGAAGCTTGCTGCAGACACAAAGCAACTGTCTGAGAAGATAGAGAGCCTTGAAAATCATGTTGCAAGCTTGAAGGCTGCCGAAACATTGGACTTTGGATTGGGGCCTCTGGCCAAGTCAGCCATGGAGGGCGAAGAACTTGGCACTGAGGTGAAGACATTAAGGGGCATTTTGGCAACCGCTTCTTTGCATGTTGCGCTAGTGGCAGGCCTGTGTGTTCTGAGGAATCCCGAGCTGGGCAGTGCTTCTGCTCAGGGCAGCAAGGCGCTGAAGGAGTTGCGGCCAATAGTTGAGACCTTGCAGAAACATTTGGCAGAGTTGCCTGAGGGGGAGGCAGAGCTGAAACAGTTCACCCAAAAGGTGGTAGAGGAATGCACTGCTCTGCTTGCAGGCAAGAGGCCTCCAAAGAAACAACCTGGCGCTGAGACCAAGACACAGGAAAAGGAGGCCAATGAGACAGAGGAAGACAAGGATAAGAAGGGTCAAAGAAAAGACCAGGAAAAAGACAAGAGCAAGGACAAGGACAAGAAGAAAAAGAAAGATAAGAAAGAGAAAGAGAAAAAAACAAAAAAGGAAAAGAAAGAAAAGAAGAAAGCCAAAGAGGACACAGAAGAGGAAGGAGAGGACATAGAAGAGGAAGGAGAGGACGTGGAAGAGGAAGAGGCCAATGAGCCGCCAGCTAAGAAAGCAAAGGCACAGGCGCCAAAGGCAAAGGCAAAGGCAAAGCCCAAGGCAGCGCAACCCAAGCCAAAGACAACCAAAAAGGGTTGATAGGATCACATACAATGCAAGTGATCTGGTCTTTGACCGTGCTTTTGTGCCAATGGGCAGCTGTGAGTCTGAAAGGCCTGCAGCCTCCTCACACCGCTTCAGGTTTTGGAAAACAGTGCTGCTGCAGATTGGGTCTACAAGTACAAGGCAAAGGCAAAGGTAGCTTCAATTCAATTTAAAGTTAACTAACTGGTTCTTGTGACTTTGGTGTTTTTAGATGTCAAACAACTAGAAGCTATGTTGTGCAGCAAGAGTGTCACACCTGCCAAACGCAAACACCGAGGCAGCATTGTTGCGCAATTAACCGACTCTTACAGCAAACATGATTCTAGCCTTGTAGAGCGGTCTCATGTCTACACCTTTTTTCAAGCCTGTGCATGCTTCAGCCACAAGTTCTCAAACTTTGGTAGCTTTCTGCTATGTAGCAGCGCCTCTTCAAACTATGCTCGCAAAGCCACATGAGGCTCCTGGAGATGGTAGGCGCCTGAAAAAGAACGACTCTTGCGAGGAAAGCCGGCTGATGCTTGAGGCCTCTGGCCGGGTTGTCGATCCAGCAGCGATTAAGAACGGCTCTTTATTGCTAAGCCTTGCCGAAGAGCATATTAAGGGCTACTGGACACTTTTTCCAGACCAGGAGTTCGGACCGCAGCTGACTTCCACAGATTGCAAAATCGAGGAGTTGAGTTTGTCTTGGGGAAGCTGTTGCAGCGGGTCGGAAGGTGCCTTCTATGTCTTTGAAGCATTGAATTCAGTTTTTGAGTCTCATGATGTGCGGCTTTCTTTGCGACATAAGTTCAGCTGCGAGTCTCACCAAGACAAGCAAAAGTGGATCCGAGCAGTGGTGAAGTGTGGGCCTCTTGATCGTTCCCTTGATGGAGAAACCCTGTGCATTCCAGAGGAAGCAGGTTCACCTTGTATTTTTGCCAATATTTGCGATCTTCACAAAGGTGTTGCCCATTGTGTGGTGCACAACAAGGATTGCGAAGTGCCACATCTGGATGTGCTGGTGTTAGGCACCAGCTGCAAAGACCTTTCGCGTATCAATCCTTCCAAGGTTCTTGGTCGACCTGTCCTGGAAATGTCGACATCCAAGGGCGGCTCTGCTCAAACTTACCACGGTTTCATTTCCTATGTTCAAGCCATGCCACCGCTGTTTGTGTTCTATGAGAATGTGGATACTATAGAGGACGCAGTTGGGCCTCAGGCCGTGTCCAACATGGACATCCTCTTGAACCAAATGTCTGAATTAGGCTACGCTTCTCAAAAGATGATGACCGATGCGAAGGAATTTGGGCTCCCAGCCAGGCGGCGTCGTAGCTACGTCCTTTTTGTTCGGCAAACCAATCCATACTTGGATTTCTCGAAGCAAGGGTTGCACGATGCCCTAGCAACTTTCCGTCAGATGGTGGCCTCTTGTCTACGGTCTGCTCCTTGTGTCTCTGAAGTGCTGCTAGACAATGCAGATGATGACGAAGCGGCTGAGATAGCCAGTGGGCTAGAAGGACGACGGGCCCGAGTAGCTGCCAGCCAAGCCGCAGCAGCAAAGAGGGCAGCCAAGGCCCCAAATGCGCAAAGCTGCGACAAGTGGCCCGAGCAGCACTTCAAGATCAGCCAAGATTTGGGGGTGCGGTGGGATGGACGCACACCAGAAGACCTTGAGGATAATGATTGGTATGATACTTTGAGCCAAAGAGAGAAGGATTCTCTTTCCCTGTCTAGGACAGTGGCGCCCCAGGCAGCGTTCCGGAATTTGTCACAGAGCGTCATGAGAGCTGCAGGAGGGACACTGTCCGAGTCAGGCAAGCACATTGCTCCCACCATGTTGCCAGGGCAGCTTTTGTGGATCTCGGAGTCGGTATCTCCTGCTCAACGACTGCTCCTGGGCCAGGAGGCTTTGCTGTTGCAAGGGTTTCCTGTCCGACCTTTTCTGGCAGCCCATGAGAAATTGCGAAAGAATGAAGCTGCTTCCACCCAGAGCAATCAGCCTCTGGCTGGGTCAACAAAGAAAAGGAAGAGAGAGGAGAAGGAGAAAACAATCCAGTTGGACATCTCTGAGAGCCTGATGCAGGACCTAGCTGGCAATGCTATGGCGTTGCCAGTCGTTCTCGGCATTGTTCAGTCTGCCCTGTGCTGTTTCAAGTGGAAACCACTGGTGGAGCCAGCCACTGAGGAGCAGTTGGATTTGGCCATGGGCGCCTTAGGTATCCTTGCGAGCCTTCAGGGCAAGTCTGGAAAGTGACCGAGGCTTTCACAGATGTTGCGGTGTGTGCTTGGCTGGGAAAAAGAGTTGCGAAGGGGTGTTTGGGTTCTGTTGGTGTTGGGCTGAAGCATGTGTGGCCCCTTGCTCGGCCCTGAGCGATGTTTGACTTTGTTTGTGTTTGTTTGGTTTGGGTTTCTGTGTGGCCCTCAAATCATCTCTTGCCTGCTTTTATTGTATCTCTCAATTCATTTCATTGATTCATTAATTATGTTCGTTGTCGCACCAAGCAGGTCAACCATATTTCATTTCTCTTGGGATTGCGCATGATAGATTTTTTTGCAGAGAAAAACTAGGCATATATGAATGAAGCGTTGATGATGTGAGTCGTTGGGAGCACCCGGTCTTGAGCCCACCATTCCCTGGCAGGCATTTCGCCCTCCACTTCCCACAGCTCCACTGGTTGCCTGGGTGGGCTTTGTCCGATCGGCCACAGCGGCCCATTGCTTTGGGTTCTGCTCAGCAGTCTTCAGAAAGTGGTGCGCCGTCAGCGTCGCTTGGAGGACTTGGTGGAGTGGAGCCTGCCAATCCCCCAACGCACGATGGGATTGTAAGGCTTGTGTGGCTTCAAAACCGGGTCACGAAGCGGAGTGTGTTACTCCAAGGCTTCTGGCCAGGTTTGACCAGTGAGTAGTCACACTGTAGATGTAACATTGCGTCATCTTGTGTCATGCGGTGCAAAAAGGGCATTGGGCGCACAGGTGGTTTGGCTTTATATAGGAACTATGCTGTTGGAGCAGCTGCAAGAATTCACAAGGGGAGTCCTCAATATCAATATAGATATTCCCTTCCAACAAGCACAGCTGAAGTTTGTGCAGTTTGTGTGTGTGACTGGAAAATGCAACCGGTGAGGTTGCAATATAGGTTTGCAACAGCGTTCAGGACATATAACAGGGACTGTGATATTGGCTTTCTATTTGTAGGCCAATATGGTTTTTCAATAGCAACTATTTTGAAGAAATTGTTTTTCCTATATTGAGAAATTGAAACATTTGTCCAAACAATTGTTTCAAACAATTTTGACTTCAAAACAATTGTTGAAACAATTGCTCAATGTTTCGTCTATGTTTTTCCTTGTTGTTCATTGCCCCCACACCCCAGTTCTGAAAACATCTAACTAGTAAGGCACTTGTTACTAGAAGCGATGCACTTGTTCCTAATAGCGATGCACTTATATTGGTGATGGTTTTGCATAGATGGCTTTTGTTTGTTGTGGTGTTTTTGTTTTCGACGAGCAGGTATTGCATTAAGCTCGTGTGTGTGTGTCCACCCCTGGACAAAGGGTTTTCCACCGCCACTCTTTT